CATCAAAATATTCACAAATCCGAAGCCATCAGTAGATTCACCATCGGCGACCGCTGCCGGGCCACTCGCCGGCATCCCAGAAGAGCCGCCAAATCGAAAAAATGACAATTTTGAAAAACTTTCTCTCTTTAAAAACTTGGAGCTTCTCTCTCTAGAGTAGTCACTGAGATACTAATGTAATACATATAGATTATAATAGACCACTTAATATGATCATTCAACAAAAAAAATCCCATTGAAGTTGGAAAAAAAAGAATGAAAACCAAGTTGGTTTTGATTAGTGACAAATTTAGAAATATTAACTAAAGCATATAAAATAGCTAAAAAAGTAAATTTTACATATCATACAAATGTTATGAATTCACAAATAGGATCATATATTACCCACCCCTCTAACATGCCAAATAAGGGACTTCTTCATAATAAACCAAGTTATTAGTTGTTTTATCTCTAGTATACCTAGAGTTAGAGGCTAACACATAAAAATTATTTTTATTATAATTCCTCATTTTTTCTTATCAGAGATACTCTTGAAATCCTCTAAGGAATCATTTCTAAAGTTATATTTAGAATTCTTTTTTATTTTGAAGTGAACCTCCACATTAGAATGAAGTTCACACTACACCCAATTAGAATTAGACCTATCTATATGAGAATCCTCTTCAAAAGAGTCAATAAATCATTAGACACAATAGATTTAGGAAAGTAAAATTTTTGAGTAATAATTTCCTGACCCAAGCCTTTACCAATTATACTAGAGGATGAAGTAGCTGGGTTAGAGGGGGAGGAGGGAGATTAACAAATACAATAGCAGTCTTAGGAGTAGAATTTGAAAGATTAAAACCCTCCCACACTAACCATGTTCTCACATTTCGTTTAGATGTAACAGGTAAATCAACCAATAATTAAATGCCATCATAGTTTTCATTGAGTATAGATCCTTCAAAAGGAGATGGTTTAACAAAAATAAGATTTCAACAAAATAAGATTAATAATATTTATTGGATTACCCATATTCACATTCCCAATAGCATCTAAATGGGGAGAAATACCATCATGAGGAACACTGAGGGAAAATTTACTATTTGTAATAGGCAAAATAATTTTCTCCTTCAAAATAAGAGTACGAGAAATAACCTATTTGATTGGGATTGATTTCCTCAAATGAGGTTGTAAATGATATATATATATATATATATATATATATATTTCATGTCCTAGGGCTTTACAGTGATCAGAGAGGTTAGAAAAATCACTCATAATTACCTTCTATAAATAGCCAAACTTTTTAAGACCTACCCATATTGTATCAAGATATTTTTAAGTAATATCTATTTTGATTAAAATATGAGCTACATAAGGAAAGGGACTTAAGTAATGGTCGTATCATTTTGTAAGGGATGATTAAATAAAGACACCAATCCATATAACATATGATGATTAAATAGATTAGGGCATAAATCTTGGAAAGAATCCCATACATACATAATGGGAGAATCGACAGACTACAGAAGTTAGTCATTTCACCAAGTGACAGACATAATCCACTAAACGTTATGCACCAAATTCCTATACATCATATCTACCACCCCATCTATTGCGGTGTCTCTTAAATAGTGAAGTGGTGCTTAATCCCATATCTTTGGAAGTCTTGCAAAAATGCATCTAATGTGTATTCTCCCTCATTATCTGATCAGATTTACTAAATCTTTTGACCACTCTAAGTCTCAATCTACTTACTCTATGTTCTAAAAATCTATAGTACTTCACTCTTGTACTTCGTGGTGTTCACCCTAACATTTCTAGAGTAATTATCAATAAAAGAGATTGTACCTGTCAAATGATGTTTTATTCCTTGGGCCCCAAAGATCTACATGAACATACTCAAGAAGACTCTTTGTATTGTGGATAATAATACTAAAGGATACATGCATCTTCTTACAAAGCACATACAATAACAATAATAACATCAAGCCTTTGTCCCACAACATGGCGTCAGCTACATGAATAATATTCACCATTGTGTCCTATTAAAACTCAAATTCTCATTCAAATCTAATAAATAAAGATCATTTCTAATATTTTCTAACCAAGTCTTTCTAGGTGAACCTGTACCTTTCTTAACATAAGTCAAATCTAATACCTGCTCTCCTAACCGGGTCATTGGAAGGCCTCTATTTAATATGACCAACACTTCTAAGGTGACTCTCTCTAATATTATCTTCCATTAGAGCTACTACAACCTTTTCACATATTTACTCATTTCGTATCCTATCTCTAAGGGTAAAGCCACTCATCCACCTAAGCATCCTCATCTTTCTAACACTTGACTAAGTATTATGCTTTTCTTTTAATGGACAACATTAGGCACCATAAAGCATTGCAGGTTTCACAACCATTTTATAGATTTTTTATTTAATTTTAAGGGGGACTTTTCTATCGAATAATAAGACTGATGCATTCCTCCACTTCAACCATCCAACTTGAATTCTGCTGATAATATCCCCATATATTTCACCATCACTCTGCTAGATTCAAGATATCTAAAATGTGTACTCTTATTAATAACTCAATCGCCCAATGTCACAATCCCCTCACTAGGTCTATTGCTACTAAAATTACACTCCATATATTCTATTTTTGATCTACTTAAGCGAAAACATTTGGACTCTAAGGTTGACCTCCATAATTTAAGTTTACCTTTAACTCCCACTCTAGTCTTATCAACAAGAAGAATATCATCAGCAAAATATTTACACCAAGGTACATTAAGGCAATTGTCTATTGAGAACATCTATGACTAACGAAAAAAGATATTGACTTAAGGTTGATCCTTGATGTAGTCCAAGCAAAATAGGAAAATACTTGGTCAAACCACCTTGTGTTTGAACACAAGTAATATCTCAAGTATATATATACATAATGATTTGAGTGTAAAGGTTATTAACTTCTTTCTTTTCAAGAACTCTCCATAACAATTCTTTAGGAACTTTGTCATATGCTTTCTCTAAATCAATAAATACCATATGTAGATCTTCCTCATTCTCTCTATATTTCTCCATCAAACCCCTCAATAAATATATGGTTTCCATTGTAGACCAACCCGACATTAATCCAAATTGATTTTGAGAAACATTAGTATTACGCCGCAACCTACACTCAATCACTCGCTCCTATAGTTTTAAAGTATGACACATTATCTTAATTCCTCTATAATTCGTACACTCATGTGCATCACCTTTATTCTTAAACAAAGGAATTAACACACTCATTCTCCACTGATATAACATCTTTTTAGTCTTCAAAATAGTATTAAAAAGTTTAGTAAGCCAAGAAATTTCTTCATCTCCTAAGCATTTCCAAATCTCTATTAGAAAATCATCATGTCCAATAGCTTTTCCACACTTTATTTTCTTTAATTCCTCTCTAAGTTAGATTTTACTAATATACTGATAAAAATAAAAATCTTTATTTTTTTTAGGATGCTAAAGTCACTAAAGTCAATTGTATTTTCACTTTCTTCATTAAAAAGTTTAGCAAAATATCTCATCCACCTTTATTAAATATCATATTCTAAGAAAAGTACTTTTTGATCTTCATCCTTAATACACTTCACTTAAACTAAATCATTACTACTCCTATCTCTTTATTTGTATAACTTATACATATATCTTTCTCTCTCCTTACCATCTAGTCTATTATGTAAATCATTAAAAGCTAAGCTCTTTGCATTGCAAATATCATTCTTAGTTTCCTTAGGAGCTTCTTCATAGCTTTCCCAATTATAAGAATTTTGACATCTAAAGCAATTTTTATAACAAATCTTATTATTTTTTTTATCTTTTCTTTCACATTAGGATTCCACCACCAACTATTTTTACTATTAGGTGCTTTTCCCTTCAAAACTCCAACATATTTTTTGTAATATTTTTAATATCACTAGCCACATTTTCCCACTTAACATTAGCATCCTCATGCACAGAAAAAATCTTAAGATCTAAAATCTTACTCTAAAAATGAATTTTATTAATATTCTTTAAATGCCCCCATCTATTCTTAGAAAATCATTTTACTTTATTTTTTATTTTCTACCAATTTATCTTAAAGTCTAAACTAATAATAAATGTTAGGTACATAAATTTTCACTCTGAATAACTTTATACTTATTGCAATCTATATGATCTAATTTTCTTATAAAATAATCAATATACATTTTACAATATCCATTTTTATAAGTGATAAGATTTTAATCTGTTTTCTTAAATTAGGTATTAGCTATTAAGAAATCATAAGCTAAAGAAAAATCTAATATGCTCTTACCACCTTCATTTGTCGTTCCAAACCCATGGCCACCATGAATAATTTTAAAATCATCTACCTCTCTACAACCATGTCCATTTAAATCTCCTCCAATAAAAACTCTTTCTTTAAGAGGTATCTTTTGTATTAAATCTTCTAAATCATTCCAAAATTTTTATTTTGAACCCATATCCAGACCTATTTAAGGGAGCATAAGCACTTAAAATATTAACAATCTTAGCATCAATAAAAACCTTGAAAGCTATAATTATATCTCTAACTATGTTTATTTTTATAACATTGTCCTTCAAACTCTTATATATAATCACACCTACACTATTTTTAGTATGTTTTAACCCTGAATACCATAGTTTATATCCTAAACTATCAATTTCCTTAGCCTTCTCTCCAACCCATTTAGTTTCCTGAATGCTCAAAATATTTATTTTCCTATGAAACATAATATCTATTAGTTCCATTAGTTTTCTTATAAGGGAGCCTATATTCCAAGTTCCTATCCTAATTTTAGTTTCATGTACTAGCTTCTTTGCCCACATCAATCCTTGATATGGAAACCCTTGCCTATTTAACACTACATCCTGGTGTCGGAGCTGTGGCCCTTGCATAATTGCTGCTGTATTCAGGCCATACAACGCATCGCTTCTTAGAGATGCTATAGAATTAATAAAAAAATTTAAAGGAAAAATTTGGACCATTTCTTTATTTATGTGTGTCATTCTTGTATAGGGGTCATGCTAATCTTCTCTATATTATTCCAATTTTATTGGATGTCTCTAAAAAGATGATTCTAAAGGCTATTCAAAAAAATATTCAAAAAATTTGGGCTTGCAGGTACTCACTCCTTTGAACAATCCTTTCTTCAACAAATCTATAAATGAAGCCTCTTTAGCTTGAGCTAGCCTCATATGCCACAATATAGTGGCATAAGAAGAAATATCGACCACAATAATCAATAATCATTATTCTACCGTTAATATAGTAAAAGTGGTGATGATGAACTCCTTTCAAAAAAACAAATGCTCCATAAAATATCTTCAGAGTTCATGCCTCAATAACTACCTTATAGCCCTTAGTTTCTAAGGCCCAAACATAAAGAAAATTCTTCATGATATTTGAAATGTATATCACATCAGTTAGCTCTTACATAATACCATAATGTATTTTAATAAAGGTGCTCCCTACACTAATAGTATGATGGACTTGATCATTTTTTATAGTTACTACACTATAATCAAGTTTCCTATAGGGATATAACCCCTCTTGAGTAGGACAAATGTGATAGGTAGCACTAGCATCAATAATTTAGCATGAGCTGTTTATGTGCAAACTATGAGAAATTATAGATAGTCATACATGATAATTATCATCACACTTGTGCACACTAAGGTTTTCCTTTACCTCAGAGGAAATTCTCTTTCCCTTCTCCTTGAACTTTGGGTAATCTTTATTCTAATGATTAGTCTCTAAATAGAATGCACACTGATTCATTCAAAGGACATGTCCATGAGACTTTCCCCACTTAATTTTGATGTCTCTGTAAACTTTTTTAATCCTCTTCTTCTCTGATCTTCCTTGTTGGAGTATGAGAGTGTCACAAATCCATCTTGGCATATTTCTTGTCCTTATAATCGAACTCATTATTCAACAATTTTGTAGTAACCTCACCATTATTGTAGACCACCTTCCCATGAATGAGTTGCATTGTAAAGTTTTCATACTCATATAGGACTGAGTTTAATAAGGAGTGTCTTATTTTCATCTACAATCTCCTCCTTTAGATTTAACATATATGCCAACAACTTTGTGAAATCATATGAGTGTTCATCCCCATGAATCATTTGAAATATATAGAGTTAACATTTTTTATAGAGATATTCTCAAGGCTATTTGTTTGAAAATTTTTCTTCCACAGTTTCTCAATAGATGTATCCATCATCACCCCATACTTGATCTTCTAAGATAAACAATTTTTTATTAACCCACATGCATTATGGTTCATCTTTAGCCAATCACTTTTAGATGTCACTTCAAAATGTTCATCGCCAACAAGAAATTCCTCTAGGTTCAAAAAGCATTGCAAAAGTTTCACCTCACAGCACCACATGCCAAAATTTCCTTTACAGTCTGATTTTATCACATCAATCTTAACAAGATGTGCAATTTATACATGTAAAAAATGGGTTATTTTATGTGTTATGTTTTCAATAAAAATATGTTATTTTACTTATATTGATAAAAAATATATAAAAAATACATAAAATTCTCCTTTAATATAGCGTGGTGGCATCAAAATAAATAATGTAATAGTGCCATCAATTAAATGGTTGGAGAAATAGAACATCATTATTGCAGCACTAATTTCTCCAGAGAGTAGCACTGTAGTGGTCAAATATCAACTTTGAGGCATTAAGTTTTTAGTTGTCCAGCTCGAGTACATCATAATCCATAACGCCTCAGTGCCCAAATTGGCCTCTTAGCATTGCAGTATCTGAAAGTTATTAGCACCACAAAATAGCAATTATAACTTCCCAAGGAAATAATATATCAGTGAGGTGACCTGACTGTTAACCAAGTAACTGATCCAGTTTAGCAAGTGTTGGTGTGGCACTAAAAAAGCAAGGCATCATTGTTAGTTAATTTATTTGGTGAAACAATGTTGGACTTTCTAGCTTCGTAGAGCTAGACACTTATTTGTGTTTTCTTATAAATAATCATTATGTTAGGTTTGTAGGATAAAATTTTAGTCTAATTTAGAGCTCTTCTCTAAAACTCTCTTAGCGTGACAACTAAGGGAATTTAGAGAAGTACTTGATACCATCATTAGAGTGTTTGAGATATATTTTTGGAAATAAATTTATAAGTTAAGTGGAGTGTGGAGGAGAACCATTGAACCCTTTTGGCAATAATTATCTGTTGTATTTTCTTTCTATCATGCTATCAATGAAAATGAGTTTACATCTATTCTAGTCCATATTTTGCTAAATTATCTTATTTTGGATTGATGGTGTAAGTATCATATGTAGCACTAATGAAATATCTTATTCCTTAAATGATTAAAATGACATTTTCACTATTATAATATGTTTATTTAATGCATATAGTGGCCATGTGTGTTTTTAAAATTAGGTGTAATTTGGGTCCTCGACGAAGGTAACCAAATATAACTAGGAATATTTAATTAATATTCATCATGCTTAGGTATATGGTATGAAATTTAATAAATTCTTATGGAGATGATATAACTATAAGAAGTCGATAGGCATCCTTTGCTCCTACAAGCTTAACAGAGATTTAAGGATGTATATGCTCTAAATAGCATGACAATTAAAAGTGATTCATTAGTATATAAATGTTATTTACATTCATTAATCAAAAATATTACATCCATATAATGTATTGATTATCTTTATCTAATTTTATGTAAGTATTTAAATCTCCATAATATTTATTTTTATTGAGTATGATAATTATTATAATTTAAGTAAATAGTACTAGTGTTTACAAGTGAACATATCTTCCTCGTAGGATTGATACTCTACTCTATTACTATATTACTTGATTTAGAATGTATACTTACAAATATTAAGTGAGAATTTTATAATTTTAATGTATCAAAGAATACCTAAGCAATGCTTGAGATTGATGGAGGCCTAATTCATTTCACAATTCTATTGATTAGTCCGTAGCCCCATCAAGGTTTTGGTGCCATTAACTATATTATTGAATTAAATGCATAATTAGACCTATATGCTTTTTTCTTTTATTTTTTTTTTATTTTGATTATTTATGTATTTTTTGGTGCAAACTTTATAGCCTTAGAAAGTAATTATTATCATTTGAACATAAAATTAGGAAAACAAAAATATCTTAAAAATGGTTGAACCTAAGTTAGATCAAAATCTATCTAAACCTCTTAAGGATTATACAAACCCTTTAGTAGATGGAGTTCATCAATGCATAAATATACCTACAATCCAAGCTAATAATTTTGAATTAAAATCAGCTATCATTCAAAAGGTTCAAAACTCTCAATTAAGGGGAACATCTGTAGAAGACCCCAATTTGCATTTAGCCAATTTGTTAGAGATTTGTTTAACATTTTAGTACAATGGTGTTAGCGATGATGCTATTAGACTTAGATTATTTTCCTTTCATCTAAGAGATAAAGCTAAAAATGGTTGAATACTTTATCCCCTAGCTTTATAACCACTTGGAATGAATTGGTTCATAAGTTTCTCGCTAAATATTTTCCACCTTCAAGAACTACCAAAATTACAAATCACATAACTTCTTAAACTCAGTTTGAAGAAGAATCCATTTATAAGAGTTGAGAAAGATTTAATGAAATGCTTAGAAAAATTGTCCCGTCATGCATTATCGATAGGTTTATGATTCAAATATTTTATAATGGATTAGTAGGTTCACTTAGATCCATAGTTGATGCTTTAGCTAGAGGATCATTAATAACTAAGCCATTTGAGGAAGCTTATGATTTAATATAAAGAATAACTACTAATAGTTTCCAGTGGCCTATTGATAGGGTAAAACCTAAAAAAGTATTTGGAATTTATGAATCAGATACTTTTTTTAATTTTAATTACAAAACTTGTTGTGATTTCTAAAAAATTCAATACCATAGGATTAAACTCTATAATAGGAATTGAGATATCAAGAGACCAAAATTTAATTGATGATAATAATATGCAAGGGATTGAACACATTAATGTAATTACAAGACAAAATAATCCTTATTCAAATACATATAATCCAGGTAAGAGTAATCATCCTAATTTTAATTGGTCAAGTAATATGGGTGATAGTAATCAATGGAATGATGAGTAGATTAATTAAGGAGTAACTTGGATCACATCTCAACAACCTACTATTTATCTTAGATTTCCAAATCCTTCAGGATTTAGTCAAAGCAATCAATTTGGAAATAAGAAAAGCAAGATGTAGTTATGTAGTTAGGAACTATACTACAAATTAAGTTTTTTCGATTAAAGTTTTTGAAACTCAACTAAATTACCTTACAATTTAATCAACTGGAGACCACTAGGATCTTGATTTAGTAATACTAATATAAATCCTAATAAAAAATAAAAATATTTTATTGGAAGTCAATCGAAGAATATAAATAATTTACCCAACTAATTTGAAAAAATCTAAGCAAGTCTAGCTGAAGACTATAAACTTAATGATATATGGGAGGAAACTCATATTTAGGTTTAGTTAGTTATTAAGTCTGGCTAAAGACTATAAACATAGTGCGTGAAGGGATGCTAACCAATTTATAGTTAAATGTATTAGGTATGGTTATTTAGTTTATTTAAAAAAAAATTTGGAGATGTTGTAGCGTTGTAATGCCACTATCACTACAAGTAAATTGCTTGTTACTGGCTGACAAAATTTGTCTGTAATAATGGAAATCTGACACAAACTTCTTTTTTTTTTTTGGTGAATATATAGTAAAAATTCATTCAATGGTAATTCGTGTGACAGAAAGTTTAGTCCAGTAAAAAAATTATGTCAAAAATATTTTTGGCAGACTTACTAGCAGAATTTTGGGGAAAAACCAAAAACTAAAATGTCATTCTCGTGGTTGGATTTTTGGTGTTTTATCCATTGGAATTTATGGTAAAAAGTTTGCACCAAAAAATTCTTTTGGATAATCTGCCATATGATTTTATTTGATCGATACTAATAAAAAAATCTTGTGGATAATACAACAATATTAACGGCGGAACATTTTTTGTTGGAACATCGATACAATTTTGAACTAT